CCTCATATATAAGTCAAGGCAAGGTTCTGGGGCCAAAATCATAGATTTTGATATGAACCATGGATAAGTCGAGGGTTAAAGTTAGGGGCATGTAATGAAGGATTTTTTTGCAAGAATCACAGCCTCAGCAAGCAGAGTGGGGAAACAAAGTTCCAATTTCCCCCTCTCCCCTCGCTCTGTCTCTCTTCCTCACCAGCATTTGCAAGGATCACAGCCTGGGCAATCAGAGTGGGAAAACAAAACTCAAATTCCACCCTCCCATCTATCTCCCTCTCTCTCCCCCTCCTTTACCAACATTTGCAAGGACAAGCAGAATAGGGAAACAATGATCCAATTTCCCCCAGTCTCTCTCTCTCTCTATTTCTCCCTTCCTCACTGGCATTTGCAAGGACCACAGCCTCGGCAAGGAGATTACCGTATTGACCCGAGTATTAGTTGACATAGAATTTTGAAGTCTGTTTATGGGCACAATTTTTTTGACTTATAGATGAGTATATACATTAATTATGATATATGAAGGACAAATGCTATATAATTCACAAATGTGGAAGATTGTGACCAAGTGACTTCCATATCTGACTCAGGGTCAGGAGTGACAGCTAAACAGATCACACAGCTAATGTAAAGAAATTGTTTTGCATGTTCAAAAACATTACTAAACTTCAACATCAATCAGAGCTATTCCAAAATTAAGAAAAATATCCCTCTGGAAAGCCTTCCCTTGAAAAATTAACTGCCTGAGAAAATAAGGCAAAAAGTACCAATGACCAATGTCAGTGAACATGTGTTGGAACCATTTCATGTCTGACATGAAATTATTTTTTTAAAGGTCAACAATGCATGCCTTCTACTAACCCACCTTAGGGGAAAAGGAAATGAAGAGAATAGTTTCCTGTATGTATCTACCATATTTTCTGGCATATAAGATAACTTTTTAAACCTGGAAAAGGGTCTCAAAAGTAGGGGGTCATCTTATACACCGGGTAGAAAAGGAGGAGGGGGAGGAGGGTGAAAGGAGAAGGGAGCCAGGAGAGAGAAGGAGGTGGAGGAGGGGGGGACAAAGAGAAAGGAGCCAGGAGAGAGGAGGAGGAGAATGAAGGGAGAAAGAGAAGAGAGCCAGGAGAGAGGATGAGAACAAGGGGAGAAGGAGAAGGAAGCCAGTTCTACAGTATGGATGCAGCCTGAATCTACACTGCAGAAATAATGCAGTTTGACACTGCTTTAACTGCCATTTTTTGAAACAAGCACTTTCAAGCAACTACCTCCAGCTTAAAGCTGTTTCTTAATGTGAGCTTTTGCCTATTTAGAATAGGGCAATACTTCAATAATTAGTGGTTGGGAGTTTTTAAAAAAAATTCAAACTAACCAAATGTTAAATGGGGAAAGTTTATTTCTAGGACTAAGACAAAAGATCAGCATAAAGAGAAATACAGCAAGAAGTATTTGTTTTGCGTTACAGAATTTTTGCAAACTGCTTGCTGTGCTGACCTACATTTATTCCTTTGGGGAGAGGACAGGAAAAACCAAAGTTACCAACAGACCAAAAAATCAAGGGGCTGTGCTTCATCTCACAGTCCTCTTTTCTGCCACCTCTTCACTGATTGCCTCTGGGAATGCAAGAAGAGAATGGCAGTTCAGAGTGTACAAGTCCCTAATGAATTCCTGTTGTCTCTATACAGTCTCTTTTTTCACACCTCTGACCTCTACACTAGTCTGCAGAATTCTACCCTCTTGCTCTCTCAGATAGGTTAGGAAACAACTACTTAAACAATCACAGAATTCTGAAAAAGAAAATAATCCTAAATAGTACCACTTTCCATACTTTGCAGTTGCCAATGTGAGAAAATGCATACAGATATGTAAATAACTCAATTACTGAGAAATAAAAGATCAGTTTTTATTTGATAAAATATTTAAAAACTGTAAATCATGAATGATTAATTTTTCTAATAGAAATGATTAATTTGCTAATAGACTATTAATTTTTTTTGTCACATACATGGTAAAAAAAATTAGTAATCGAGGAAGGGATCAAAAAATTCCTCTCAATTATAATGAAATCATGGAACACCTTAACAGTGTATGGAGAAGAACTTGGCAGAATTAAGGCATGGAATTTTTCAGGGTGATTTCTTCTCTCTCATTACTTTTTACTTCAATGGTTCTGCTTTCAATAATACTAAAGAAAAGAGTCAGTGTGCTGTAATGGTTTGAGTGTTGGACTGTGACTCTAAAGATCAGGGTTCAATTCCCACATCTGCCGTGAAACCCACTGGGTGAGTTTGGGCAAGTCACATGCTTTCAACCTCTGGGAAAGGCAATGGCAAACCTCCTCTGAAGAATTCTTGCCAAGAAAACCCCATGATATGACCTTACAGTCGCCATTAAGTCAGAAAGAACTTGAAGGCACACAACAACAATAACAACAAGAAAACAAATCAATGCAATGGTATTGCTTTCAGTAATGCTAAAGAAAACAAATGGAGCATATAAAATATCAAAGAAAGGTGGGAAAATAAGCCACTTGTTCTATATGGATGACTTAAAGCTACGTGGAAAGTGACTATCAAAAACTGAATCCTAATTGAATATTTTAAGATTATTTAGTCAAGACATCTCAATGGAACTTGAAATTTATAAATGTGCTGCATCATTAATAAATTGGGATATAATTGCTAAATCAGAAGCAGCAAAGCTCCTTGACAAATATTTAATGTAAGAAAATGAAATCAATTACTATGACTGAGTATACAAAAGTAATATACAAAGTCCTAAAATCAAAACTTAACATCTGTGTCATAAACTGTGATTGTGTGAGTTGAGCAGAGTAGATAAATATTTGTGGAAACCTCCACTGCTGAAGCCTTCCTCCACTGTGAGTTGATCTCCATGGCATTCATCTCTGGTGCTGATCTTACCAGCTAAGAATGCAGCCTTCACATTAATTAGACCGGAGGCAGAAGATAACTCTAAAGAGGCACATTTTATTCTCCAGTTGCAGTAAATACAAATTAACTATTTATAAGTAGATCAGAAAATCAGCAGGCAGGAACAACAGAATCATCAGAGCTAACCAGCAGAAGAAAAGAAAGAACTCCACCCCCCCCCCCAAGCTGAGGGCTTAATTCAGGGGTAGGCAACCTTTCCCCTTTAAGGGCCGAGGGACTTCAGCTCCCAGAATCCCAGGAGCTATTGGCCAACATGGCTGAGGCTTCTGGGAGCTGAAGTCCCTCGGCCCTTAAAGGGGAAAGGTTTCCTACCCCTGGCTTAATTAATTTGTGGACATTTGCTAAACATCCTCAAAGTCCAGCCTCTCCTTGTAACTCAGTCACGTGGACAATGGTTTTCACAAAACATGATGACCTAATATGTTTACAAGTTTGCTATCTGTCTTCCCAGACACATACCGTCCTTAACTATCTTCTCTTGTGACTGTTTTTTGTATTCCACCTGCAGGCAAACTTTCCCATGTTGTCATTTTTCACACAGACTACAATTCCCACATCTGTACATTTCCACACATAAGTTACATTTTCCAACATAAACTACTGAGCTAAACTAGAAAATTATGACAACAAACTATACTTTAGGATCCTCTAAGTCAGGGGTAGGCAACCTTTTTGAGCCAGCGGCCGGGTTGCTGTCCCTCAGACAATTGGGGGGCCGAAGCACCAAAAATAAAAAAAATAAAAAATTAAAAATAAACATAAAAATTAAAAAATTAAAAATTTTAAAAATATGCATGCACACTCTCTCAGCCCCAGAAAAGCCATGCCAAAACCCCTGTGGAGATTTTGCCAAGAAAACCCCAAGATCAAGAAATAACAACAATAATCAATATCATTTACAAGTTGATCAGAAAATCAGCAGGCAGGTGGTGGTGGCAGCAGGACTGGCCTGGGGCCGGTCCAAAGGCCTCGGGGGGGCGCATCTGGCCCCAGGGCCTTAGGTTGCCTACCCCTGCTCTAAGTGATGTTGATAACTGTTGGAATAGTAACAAGCTCTACACTTGAGCCATTATAGGGTT